CTGCTATACTTGAACTTGCTAGCGAAAAAAAAAAAAAAAAGAAAAGAAAAAAAAGAAAAAAAAGAATAATTGAATTTTAGCCCAATAAAAATTTTCTCTTCTTTTTTCTTTCCTGTAACAACTTCATTTGTTTACTCGTTTGCATTGATTTTTTCTACTTTTTTTTTTTAATGTGCTAAATACAAGAGCTTTCAGGCTAATTTAAAGGTAAATGCCACTGCAAATTATAGCAGAACTGTACAAACCTATAAACTTGTAAGATATACTGCTTTTTCAGAAATCGTAATCCTGTTGATTACGATTTCTGAAAAAGAAATAACTTTCAAATTATACGGTTTTTACCTAAATATGCCATTTTTCAACCAATTAATTTAGCGCACCGTCATCTTCATTAACGGTGATCTTATGTAATGCTCATACCAACAGTGTTGTTGACTTTCACCTGCTTGTTCACAAAAATAATATTTCGTGTTTCTTTACCTTGTTTCTTTTTTCTGCTTGAAAGTGAAAAAGAAGAGAATTATTTTCGCCTTCCTGCAAACTGTCAGGACAGATCAAAATTGTCACCAGTGGAATTTGATCTTTTCTCATCCAGCGCCGTAAAGCCGAGATATCAGTACGCGACAATTTTAATTGCAACCGATAGCACTAGCCGTTTCAAAACCTTATTAATTTTTTTCTATCCTAAAAAATACAGTTGCATCAGTGGAGATATTAGTACACTTAATGGGACAAATCCTGTACATGAAATCAACATGGTCATAATTTACCGTACTCCTCGTGACACAACAACGTTAAAATCATCGACATCACACAGACACACGCACTACAGGAAGCAATAGAAACACCATAAACATAGTCTGCACTAAAAAAAATTCCTGGCCTAGCGCCAAACCATATACTTTTGCGCCCAACAATGACGACAACATCCGTGGCTTCCAAACGGTCCCTGGCCAACCAACCCTTTCGAGTTGTTTCAACGTATGTAATCGCCCATAAAAGTTTGCTTCGACTACGATGCTGTCGTTGCGGCCCCTAATACGGAGAAACTATGAACGATGACCATACGTATTTCACAAGCTGGCTGCATGCCATCAAAGCTGTTAATTCTCTATGTCTGTCTCATCGTCATTTTGCAGAAAAAAAAGATCAACTTCGACCAACGCACATAGCAGTCCAACAAAAAATTATCGCTGCTAGTTTCCACATACCACACAGCAGCAAAAGCCATAATAAACAAACATTTTCACTCGAACATTAATAGACCAGCTGTTTCTTCAAGTTGCACTTTGGAAAGGGTAATACAAACGAAGAGACACTGACAACCGAGTAATGTCAGCACAGAGAGCGAAAGCTAAAACAAACGAATAGAAATACAGATACAAAAAAAAATGTTTGAATATTGTTACTTTTCGCTGAATTGGATAGTATTATGGATCTATTGTGCCGCTTTTGCATATATATATAT